CATAATCATCATTATTATTATCATCATTATCATCATCATCACTATTATTATTATTATTATTAAAGGCTTGAGAGTGAATGGGGGGAAACCAAATTCCCTTAAAAACTGTGTTACTCATTTAACAACTGCAGTGATTCAGTTAGCAAATGCGTGAAGGGAAGTGGTAAAAATGGGGCAAAACCCCACAAATTTCTCACTTAGCAACACATACATTTGGGCCTCTATTGTGGCGGTAAGTTGAGGGCTTACCAGCAAGATTAGCAAAAATGTTTAAAAATAATGAATATAATAGAATACGTCAGATAGATGTTGGAAATGTAAACATAATTCAGGCACGCATTATCACGTTTGGTGGACATGTGACAAAGCAAAGAACTATTGGAAAAAGATACAGACTTGGTTGGAAAAGATGTTGGGAGAACCTGTAGACTTTAAACCTGACCTTTTCCTACTAGGTGTAATGCCAGAAAAGATTAACAAACAAAGCCTCCATTTGGGGTTGGACTAGATGACCTCCAAGGTCCCTTCCAACATTATTATTATTATTATTATTATTATTATTATTATTATTATTATTATTATTATTATTATTATTATTATTATTATACCCTACACGTCACAACAGCTGCAAGAATAATGTTTGTGTGATATTGGAAAGAGGAAGGAACACCACCACAGGAAGAAATAATTAAAAAAAAAATATTGGAATGCGCAGAGATGGACAGATTGATTATGAGATTGAAAGAAAAAGAAGAAACAGTATATTACCAAACTTGGGACTTATTCTATTAATGGCTTGAAGAAACAAATGAAGGATTAGGAATGAAATATGTATTAGTGCTTTCAAACTCAGACAGCACGTTGGTTGAAAAAATTATATGTATGTAAGAAAAAAAATCAATAAAATCTTACCCCCCCCAAAAAAAAAAAGTTGAGGACTACCTGTGTGTTCATTTTAACAGCTGCAGTGGAGCTTAGCCAGATGTTAGGCATGAACCGCCACAGCCACACATAGGAAGACTTCAGTTACCTATTTTATTACTCCTAATATTTGCAAGCAACCTTCCCAGGTGGTTTATCTATATTATATAGATAAAGTGCAGCAGCATTCAAGACTTTGCCCTCTTGTGCCTACATAAGAATTCCAGGCTAATTCCCTGTTTGACCCCTGCCCTTCTCTCGGCTGTTAATTCCCCCCCCCCCCAAATTTCAAAATCTTTTAAAAATTGTTCTCCATAATTTGATATGCAGCTGATCCCTGGACTTAACAACTATTCGTCTAGTGACGGTTCGAAGTTACAACTGCACAGAAAAATGTGACTTACGGCCAGTTTCCGCAGACAGTCTTTGCAGCATTATATGATGTAAGATCTTGGGATGAATTGCGATAAAGGAAATTGGGGTTATTTAAAACTTGGAAACTATGCATACTAAACGTTCCATTTAAATATTAATCGGAAACCAAAAATGGGGAAAAAATTACCAGGACTTTGATTGTCTAAAAAGATTGAATGTTAAAACGACTAAGATATGTATAAACTAAAAATTATTGAGAAATGTAAGAAAGTTATTTGTATTAAATTGATATAATAAGAATTGTACTCATTTGATTGTGAGGCAGTAAATACCAAGGGGAAAAGAGAGGAAATATTTAATGTAATAGTTTGTGATCTGCACTAAAGAAATTTGTATGTTATTGAATTATGAACTAACCCAGCCGCCACCTTGCTTTTCAAATATTTAAATGTGAAACTAGAAAATCAATAAAAAAAAATTAAAAAAAAAATAATTTGGAGGCTCGGCAACCGGCTCGTGTTTATGATGGTCGCCGTATCCTGGGGTCATGTGATACCCTTTTGCGATCTTCCCACACATTCATTTAATAACCATCTTTCCTAACAAAACAATTGTAATAATTCACTTACCAACTGTGGCAAGATCGTAAAATGGGGCAAAACTCACCTAACAAACGTCTCACTTAGCAACGGACGTTTTGGGCTCCGTTGTGGTCGTACGTCGGAGGACTACCGGTAATTATTTTGAAATTGTTTTGTCTGTGCCCGTCGAATACTGTATGGGAAGTCCTCGGACTTACGACGACAATGGAGCCCCAAATTTCCGTGGCTAAGGGAGACGTTTGTCAAGTGAGTTTTGTTCCATTTTACCGACTTCCCTTACCACCGTCGTTCAGTGAATCATTGAAGTCGTTCAGTTAGCAGCACCGTCGTTAAGTGGATCCGGCTTCCCCTGTGGACTCGGCTTGTCGTAAGTTTGCAAAAGGGGATCACGTGACTGTGGGACGCTGCGACCGTCGTAAATGTGAGTCAGTTGTCAAGCACCCAAATTTTGATGGTCCTGAACCCTGGGGATGCTACAACGATCGTAAATGTGGAAAACGATCACCGGTCTCTTTTCAGCACTGTCGTAACTTTGAATGGTCACTAAATGAATCGTTATAAGTCGAGAACAACCTGTATAAAACCCCAAATATTTCCTTAGGGCCAGAGACAGCCTGGCTCTTTTTTTGCACAAAGCTTTGTTGTTGTTGTTGTTTTTGTCCTGATGGGGGTCTCATTATTATCTTAGTTTTCCTGGTAGATTTGATGAACCAATTCCGAGATGTTGCCAAACGCAACACTTGTCGGACCACAATCTTTCCCTTTTTATCTCTTTGGACCACTGAACCTATCATCCACCCCAATCTGTATTTCCCCCCCCCCCCTTCTCCCAGTTCCTTCCTGCCAGCCAGAGGGCAGGGATGATGGTCTGATGGTTATTGATTTCTGGATGCTTCTCTAGAGGCAACAAACAAACAAATGTATGTTATGTATGTCATGATGGGAAGCTGGCTAGACCAGGGGTAGGCCACCATGGCTCTTTTATGACTCGTGGACTTCAACTCCCAGAATTCCTGAGCCAGCCATGCTGAGGGGAAAGGGAGAGGTTTCCAAGTTGAGCCATGCTGGCTCAGGAATTCTGGGAGTTGAAGTCCACGAGTCCTAAAGGGGGGCCATGGTTCCCCCATGCTCTCAGGAATTCTGGGAGTTGAAGTCTACCAGTCATGAAGGGGCCATAGTTCCCCCACGCTGGCTCAGGAATTCTGGGAGTTGAAGTACACGAGTCATGAGGGGGCCATAGTTCCCCCACGCTGGCTCAGGAATTCTGGGAGTTGAAGTCCACAAGTCATAAAAGGGCCAAGTTGGAAGACCCTTGCCCTAACCCAGGGTTAGGCAACCTTGGCTCTTTTATGACTGGTGGACTTCAACTCCCAGAATTCCTGAGCCAGCATGGGGGAACTATGGCCCCTTCATGACTGGTGGACTTCAACTCCCAGAATTCCTGAGCCAGCCATGCTCAGGGGAAAGGGAGAGTTTCCAAGCTGAGCCATGCTGGCTCAGGAATTCTGGGAGTTGAAGTCCACGAGTCATGAAGGGGCCAAAGTTTCCCCCATGCTGGCTCAGGAATTCTGGGAGTTGAAGTCCACCAGTCTAGCCCAAGGTTGCCTACCCCTGGCTAGACTGGGCCACAAAGGGCCCAAAATGCAGCCAATCTGGGTGGGTTTTTTTTTTTTTTTTTTGCAACACCAGAACTTCAGAATTGGGTTATAAGTAGCTTTTTTTGGGGGGGGGTCTGTTGACGCTACGTGACAGGTTGTAAGTCAAGGAGTAAGTGTAGAACAACCTGTCTCGTATCATACTACCTACTGCCAGACAACCATCCATCCAGTTTCCTCCCTCTTCCCATCTCCTTCCTCCCCCTCCCTACCTAAATGCTCCAACACTGGAAGTTTTTAAGAAGAGATTGGACAGCCATTTGTCCGAAATGGTGTAGGGTTTCCTGCCTGAGCAGGGGGTTGGACTAGATGACCTCCAAGGTCCCTTCCAACTTTACTACTATTACTATTACCTCCTCCTTCCCATCCTTCCCTTCCTCCCTCCCTTCTTCCTATACACCCTTCTTCCCTCCCTCCTTCCTTCTTCCCTTCCTCCCTCCCTGTCCCTCCCTCCCTGTCCCTCCCTCCCTTTCCATACTTCCTTTCCTTCCTCCCTCCTTTCCATCCCCCTCTCTCCCTCCCTCCCATTTCCCTCCCCTTCCCTCCCTTTCTCCCTCCGTTTTCCCATCTCTTTCTTCCCCTACCTCCTTCCTTCCTTCCTTCCTCTCTCTTTCCCTTCCTCCCTTCCCCTTCTTTCCTCCTCGCTCCTCCTTCCCTCCCTCCCTCCCTCCCATCTTCTTCCTTCCCCCTCCCTCCTTCCCATCCTCCTTTTTCCCTCCTTCCTTCTTTCCTCTCTCTCTCCCTTCCTCCCTTCCCCTTCTTTTCCCCTCCCTCCTCCTTCCCTCCCTCCCTCCCATCTTCTTCCTTCCCCCTCCCTCCTTCCCATCCTCCTTTTTCCCTCCTTCCTTCCTCTCTCTCTCCCTTCCTCCCTTCCCCTTCTTTTCCCCTCCCTCCTCCTTCCCTCCCTCCCTCCCATCTTCTTCCTTCCCCCTCCCTCCTTCCCATCCTCCTTTTTCCCTCCTTCCTTCCTTCCTCTCTCTCTCCCTTCCTCCCTTCCCCTTCTTTTCCCCTCCCTCTTCCTTCCCTCCCTCCCTCCCATCTTCTTCCTTCCCCCTCCCTCCTTCCAATCCTCCTTTTCCCTCTCCTTCCTTCTTCTCTCTTCCTTCCCCCCTCCCCTTCTTTTCCCCTCCCTCCTTTCATCCCTCCCTCCCATCTTCTTCCCTTCCCCCTCCCTCCTTCCAATCCTCCTTTTTCCCTCCTTCCTTCCTTCCTCTCTCTCTCCCTTCCTCCCTTCCCCTTCTTTTCCCCTCCCTCCTCCTTCCCTCCCTCCCTCCCTCCCTCCCATCTTCTTCCTTCCCCCTCCCTCCTTCCCATCCTCCTTTTCCCCTCCCTCTCTTCCTCCCTCCCTTCTGCCCTTCCCTCCCTCTATCCCTCAAGACAGAGGTGGATGCCTTAGGAACCCTTAACGTACTTACCTGGGTGTTCTTCTTTGTTGCATCCATGGCAGGCAGGCTGGCTGGATGAGGAGTTTGGCGTCCCTCACTGAGAGCATCCGTCTTCTTTGAGCCTGGGCCTCTCCCAGACCTCTTTCCCACCATGTTCCACTTAATCAAGAAAGACCGAGACGGGTCCAGGAGGGAGAAGAAGGAGAAGAAGGAGAAGAAGGAACGCATGTCGGCCGCCGAGCTGAAGAGCCTGGAGGAGATAAGCCTGCGACGCGGCTTCTTCAACCTCAACCGGGCTTCCAAGCGGGACGCCAAGAACCGCCTGGAGATCTCCAACCCCATCCCCATCAAGGTGGCCAGCGGCTCGGACCTCCATCTCACCGACATCGACTCCGACAGCAACCGGGGCAGCGTGATCTTGGACTCCGGCCACCTCAGCACGGCCAGCTCCAGCGATGACCTCAAAGTGGACGACGGCAACTTCAAGGGCTCGGTTCTCCAGCGGGCCGCCAAGTTCGGCTCGTTGGCCAAACAGAACTCGCAGATGATCGTCAAGAGGTTCTCCTTCTCCCAGAGGAGCCGGGACGAGAGCGCCTCGGAGACCTCCACGCCCTCCGAGCATTCGGCAGCCCCTTCCCCGCAGGTGGAGACGCGAACCCTGGAGACGCAGCTGACGAAGCACGGCGGTGGGACTCTCCCCTGCGTCCCACTGGCATCCTCCGCCTCGCGCACCCGGCTGCCCGAATTGGTGAGCAAGCGTTTCCCCGCAGAGTTGAAGCTCCCTGCGGTGGTGCCTCCACAACCCCCCGTGCCCCGCCAGCTGGAGCTGCAACGCCGCAACACGGGCGACTTCGGCTTCTCGTTGCGTCGTACCACCATGCTGGACAGGGCGGCCGACGGGCAGGTCTACCGGCGAGTGGTGCATTTTGCCGAGCCGGGCGCCGGCACCAAAGATCTGGCCTTGGGCTTGGTGCCGGGCGACCGACTGGTGGAGATCAACGGGCACAACGTGGAAAATAAATCCCGGGACGAGATTGTGGAGATGATCCGGCAGTCGGGCGAGACGGTACGCCTGAAGGTGCAGCCGATTTTGGAACTGAGCGAGCTGAGTCGCTGTTGGTTGAGGCACGGCGAGCGGCTCCAAGGAGCAGCCTTGGAGGTGAGTTGCCGGCTTGCGCGGGGCAGGGTGAGGGGGTTGACGGGGGTCTCCTCCATCCTTGTGGATTTTTGGCCGAGTCTGATTCCTTTGCTGCCTTGGTGGGACTTCCAAATGCCCATTCTCCGGTGTTGTGTGGGCATCGCGATCAGCTCTCCCGTCTGTTGTTGGGTTATGAGAAATTTGCAACCGAGAACCGTTTCCTTCTTATTTTGCAAATGATGCGGGACGCTTAAAAGGTCTGGTGGTTCTCCAAATGTTTGCAAGAAAGCTCCGGAAATTCTGCATTGCGGCGCTTTTCGTGATGCCGTTTTTTGGGGTGATGAGTTTTCAAAGATCGGGAATTCTGAGGGGTGCAGAGCCGAGGTGGCGCAGCAGTTAGGGTGCAGTACTGCAGGCCACTTTAGCTGACTGTGTTCAGCGGGTCAGCGGTTCAAATCTCACCGGCTCAAGGTTGACTCAGCCTTCCATCCTTGCGGGGTAGGTAAAATGAGGACCCAGATTGTTGGGGACAATGTAAATATATATATATATACATTGCTTACTGGTGTACACCGCTTAGAGAGTGCTTGCACTTAAAGCGGTATATAAGTCTCATAAATAAGTAAATAAATAAAATAAATTTCCCCAAAATATTTCTCTGTATCAGGGGTGGGGAACCTTGGCTCTTTTATGACTTGTGGACTAACTCCCATGCTGGCTCAGGAATTCTGGGAGTTGAAGTCCACGAGTCATAAAAGAGCCAAGGTTGCCCACCCCTACTCTATATAAAGCAGGGATATCTAACTTTGGCAATTTTAAAACTTGTAGGCTTCAGCTATGCTGGCTGGGGAATTCTGGGAATTGAAGTCCTGAAGTCTTAAAGTTGAATTCTGGGAATTGAAGTCCAGAAGTCTCAAAGTTGAATTCTGGGAATTGAAGTCCAGAATTCTTAAAGTTGTATGGCTGATGTGGAAGCTTAGATGCAACCTATTTCCATATTTGGTGGACTTGTAGAGATATAAAAGCTTTTTGGATTAAGATTTGGTGGAATATTCAAAAGACTTTTAAGAGAAAGATAAAGTTTACGCCGCAATTATTTTTGTTGGGTGTTATTGTAGATTTTGATGTTAAAGGAATTAATTTGATGTTGAATCTTATAACAGCTGCAAGATTACTGGTGGGGCAATATTGGAAGAAATTTTTTTTGTCTACTATGGAAGAATGGATACTTAAGGTGTCTAATTTAGCAGAAATGGCAAAAATTTCTGCTTATTTGAAGGACCATTCACAAGAAAGATATATTTCGGTTTGGAGAAGATGGATTGATTATATTCAAAAGAAATATCAGACTGAAGTATTATCTTGCTTATAAGTAATTTCTAGATTATTATTAATAGTTTAATATGGTTGAATTTATATTATTTTTAGTATTATGGTTTAATTATATTATTATTTTTGTTTTTAATTTGTTAATATTTATTTTGAAGAGGAGTTAAAGTATATTATGGATTTGATTGATAGTATAGTTGGGTAATGTTATTTAGATTATGTTTGTTTATTTGTAACCCTGTAATCAGCTCTGGGAAGTGGGGGGGGAGGGGGGGAGGGATTGGGGATATATATTGTGTGAAATTTTTTAAACTTTTAATTAAAAAAAAAAGTTGCATGGCTGCTGGGGAAAATTCTGGGAATTGAAGTCCACAGGTCTTAAAAAGTAACCAAGGTTGGACACCCCTGGTAGAGACCAAGAGTGGCTGAGAATTAAAAGAATGCTAGCGAATATTTCTAGTTAATGGTGAGCTCTGTAGGGCTAACAAATAAGGAATATTTCTTTCTGCTCTGTGCTTGGATGAGAATTTAGATTTGATAGGTCAGTCCTTCTGAGATCAACCACAAGTTTCCAAATGCACCCAGTTTAATAATAATAACAACAACAACAACAACAATAATAATAATAATAGTAGTAGTAGTAATAGTAAAGTTGGAAGGGACGTTGGAGGTCATCTAGTCCAACCCCCTGCTCAGGCAGGAAACCCTACACCATTTCGGACAAATGGCTGTCCAGTCTCTTCTTAAAAACTTCCAGTGTTGGAGCATTCACTGCTTCTGGAGGCAGGTTGTTCCACTGGTTAACTGTTCTACCTGTCAGGAAGTTTCTCCTTAATTCCAGGTTGCTTCTCTCCTTGATTAGTTTCCACCCGTTGCTTTTTGTCCTGCCTTCAGGTTTTTTGCAGCTCACCTGGAAGCTGTGAAAATATTGTTTCTGGCTACACTCTCTTCATTCACTGTAACAGGGACGGTCAGTATAAACCAGTGGTTCTCAACCTGTGGGTCGGGACCCCATTTGGGGTCGAACGACCATTTCACGGGGGTCGCCAAACAACGCAGTCCGCCATTTTTCCCCCCTTTTCCTTAGCTGGGCTACTCCCTTTTATTCTATTGGCTTTTGAAAGACTCTCTTGAATAGACTCTCTTGAATAGAGTCTAATTCTATTGGCTTTCAAAAGCCAATAGGAATCGTCCAGGCTGTCTCTGCCCTGCTGAGCCCGCCAAAAGTCCCATTCTGCAAACGGTGCTGCACCAGTTGAGTAGTCCTCGACTTACGACCGGTTGAGTAGTCCTCGACTTACGACCGGTTGGGGGGGGTCGCGGCATTAAAAAGGTTGAGAACCACTGGTATAAACAGCATGGGCATTGCGTGGTCAAAATGTCCACCTCCCTCATAATCCTTTGCATCCTATTTCTCACAAGCAAGCTAGTTCAGACCACTAGTGACCCCGTGGCTGCTGAATCTTAAATTGGATTTAGGAGTCTGTGTGTTGCTTGTGTGCATTACACATGCATATTTTTAGAAAGGCTGATGATTCAAAATATAATATTTTTTTCCTCTTTCCCGAAAAGCTATTTTGAGGAAACACTACCCAAGTCCCTCAGGCGAAATTCCGTTCGAAATAAGGATTTGTCAGGGCTGACATTCTGAGATTTAAGTGCGATACTAATTGCGGCTGAATAGGATGGAATGTGATTATAAGTATATTTTTTTTTCCCCTACAGCCTGTACATACAAGTAGTCCTCAAAGTTGTTCAGTGACTTTTGCCTCTTGGAAGTGCCTGGCTAAAATTCCAGCTTACTTCTGTTGCAAAGGATTTTACAAGCTGGTGAAGGTCAGCTGGTGACAATTCCTTGACTTATGACTGTAACTGTGCCCGAAATTTCTGTCGCTAAGCGAGGCCGTTGCTGTGTGCTTGGACGAGAATTTCTCCTGTCACTTTTTTTCTGCCGAAGGAAAAAAAAAGATGGAAATAATAATAATAATAATGACAAAGATGATAATAATAATAATACTGATAATACTGATGATACTGATGATAATAATGATAGTAGTAGTAGTAGTAGTAGTGGTAGTAGTAGTAGTAGTAATAGATTTGGAAGGGACCTTAGAGGTCATCTAGTCCAACCCCCTGCTCAGGCAGGAAACCCTATACCATTTCAGACAAATGGCTGTCCAGTCTCTTCTTAAAAACTTCCAGTGTTGGAGCTTTCACAGCTTCCGGAGGCAAGGAGTTCCACTGGTTAATTGTTCTCACTGTTAGGAAGTTTCTCCTTAATTCTAGGTTGATTCCTTGATTAGATGCCATCCATTTTCCTTCCTTCCTTTTCCTTCCTTCCTTCCTTCCTTCCTTCCTTCCTTCCTTCCTTCCTTCCTTCCTTCCTTCCTTCCTTCCAGGTTGAGTTTGATGAGTTTGTATCCATTGTCCTTCCTTCCTTCCTTCCTTCCTCCCTCCCTCCCTCCCTCCCTCCCTCCCTCCCTCCCTCCCTCCCTCCCTCCCTCCCTCCCTCCCTCCCTCCCTCCCTCCCTCCTTCCTTCCTTCCTTCCTTCCTTCCTTCCTTCCTTCCTTCATGAGTTTCCATCCCTTATCTCCTTTAAGAGTGAACCTTTGGGGCTTTGTTTGTTGGAGGCTTCTGCTTAAGAGTCCTCTTTTTATTTATTTTTGTCATATTTATGTAGTGCGTATAGGAGAGGGTGACCCTTTGAGAGCTGAAGGCAACGAAATGTCATTTTCACATGTGCCGATCAGCGTACATTCCAAGTGACCATAAAGTTATTCTGTTTATTCTATTCTTGAGCTTAGGACTTGGTGGCTGTTGTTTGCATTCTGATAATCACCTGGCTTTGGGGGGGGGGGGTTGCACTGCTCGGTACACCTGAGCGTCCTTCAAGACCATTTGGAAACTCCAACAGGTATCAAACAATTGGTAGAAGTCCTGACTCAGATTACCTGGGGATTTGCGCCATCTGCCCGTTCGGACACCTTTGAAAAACCCAGTTCTCCCATGGCATCTGTGATCTGGGCTGTTTCCTTGCAGAGATTTCAAGACCCAACTCGGGAAAATAATAATAATAACAACAACAACAACAACAATAATTGTCGATAAGAAAGACAAAAAAGTCTGGATAGTGGACGTGGCAGTGCCTGGAGACGGCAGAATAGACGAGAAAGAACTGGAGAAGATCACAAAACACAAAGATCTACAAATAGAAATAGAAAGACTGTGGCAAAAGCAAGCAAGGGTAGTACCAATAGTCATAGGCTCCTTGGGTGCAATCCCAAAACAACTGGAGCACCATTTGAACACCATTGGCATTGACAAATTCGCTATTAGTCAATTGCAAAAGGCGGCCTTATTAGGAACTGCTTCCATCCTGCGACGATATCTGTAATACCATCAAACATCCACATCTGCCTATCCCAGGTCCTGGGTAAGGACTCGATAGGTAGACAAAATGCCAAATCCAGTCTGAACATCTGGCTGACTGTGCAATGATCCATAATAATAATAATATAATAATATAATAATAATAATAATAATAATAATAATAGATCTGCAAAAAGTATCATTTGCCTGTAAGCAAAAACTGGTGGGATCATAAAATAGAGAAAGTCATAGAAAATGATAAAATTAAACTGCTCTGGGACTTCAGAATTCAAACAGACAAGCACCTGCAACATAACACCCC